AATCCTGATGACATCCTTCTTTTTAGAGATCGTTTTGATGGCTATGTCTTCATTGACAATAAAGGTAACTCATAAATTACTGCGGCAAGGACCCATGAAAATGTACAATTAGTTGCACGGAGCTAAAGAAACACTGAGGTTTGTGCTTCCTCAGAAATTTCAGTCACAGCCTAATAGTTCACCATGTTTTATGATTCATGTTTTTGAATGCTCCAAAACAATTCTTATTTATGTAGTGTCCAAATCTCATAGAATGTTTGATTATAGTACAGTTATAGAAGCACAGGGTTGGATGGGTTCTCACTTATGACCATCCAGTGAATTCTCAGAAGCAAAATTCTACTCAAATTTCTTTTGTTTTGTTTTTTGTTTTGTTTTTTGTTTTGTTGTTTTTTCCCCAACACTTAAAGCTTTGGCTATATGACCGAAAGTGAGCTTAAATGAATTGGGACATATATATTTTGCCTAAAAGTTAATGCCTTTGTGGTGAATTGCTATAAAGATATTTATTGGCATCAGTAGCTTTGTACTTTGAAGGGAGACTACCAGGAGTAACAGAACTCTAATCTAAATTCAACAATAGAAAAAACACTTCAGAAAAGGGTAATGACAAACCACTTCCATACTGTTGCTAAGAAAATGATATGGAAATGTCCATGATGTCATCATGAGTAAAGCTTGACGTGAAGGAAACTGCTTTAGAGCATATCCAATATCAAAAAGGAAGATCCTGATGTGATCGGCTAATTCTGATGGATTCATGAAAGCTTGCTTTTAAATATGGATTTCCTTTTCTGGTTCAATGCTGTGTGTAATAAGCTTAGGCTAGAAAAAAATAGAATGAACAATTTTAATTCTGGCATTTGATCTCAAGAGAACTTCAGTTTCAAAATATGTGTATGAATTATCTTTTTTAATTCTATTCCTTTGTGATTCTTTAAAGGTTTGGAATATCCTGCTGTTGTTGAATTTGCACCATTCCAAAAGATTTCTAAAAAGAAGCTAAAGAAGAAAGATGCAAAGTCTGGAAGCATAGAAGATGGTACACTTTTTGTTGATGGTAGAAAGAGTTTCCTAACTTACTATAATTAAGAGGAGCTTCTCTTGCAGTACTTTGCTTTCAATATTTTTCTTTCACAGACCCAGAATATAGAAAATTTTTAGAAAGTTATTGCGCTGAAGAAGAAAAAATATGCGCCAACCCTGAAACACTTCTGGGAGAAATTGAGGCAAAAACAAGAGAACTCATTGGTTTGTTAAGCTGATTTTTTTCTCTTCAATAATTGAAAGTTTTTCTAATTAGGTGGTCATGTTTTATCTTGCTTATTGAACTTCTTAAGTTATATTAAACATTATGGCCATGGCAGCTCTTTTTTGTTTTATAAAAGAACTGGCACACTTGCTTTCTAAAGGACATTGCACTAAGTTCAGATAATGTATCCATGAATTTGGGAAATTATTCATAGAAATATTTTACGGCTATTCTAGGGAATTTTAAAAAAAGTAATTAAATCCCAAACGATTCTAACAGCAAGACAGTTATATACACATAGTTTTTGTGAACAGAGTGTTCAGAGGCCACTGTAAATGTGTATTTGAAATTTGATTAAATGACTTGTTGAATAATATTTTTTTCCAATTACCTTTGTTATTTCATGCATTACTTATTGCTCTCTTATAATAAATTATTAGAATTATTTTTAGCACAGGTGCCTACAGGTGTGTTGTAGTATTTCAGTGCTATCTTCCTTTTTTGTGTAAATGTTAAGTTTCATGAAAAGGACATTAACGCTGATGTCAATCCATAATTAAAATGAGTGGGGGGAAAGTAAAAATAGCCTCTTGAGTATACAAGGTAGATAGAGGAAGTAAAATGACTCCAGCATAATGAAATTTTCTATTTAATTAGACAGTAGTTACTTTATAATTTTTTTTCCCGATCCATGTGTAGTTACTTTATATATATTCAGTTGCTAAGGCAAAGAGTTATTAACCATTCAGTACTGAGTTTAGCATTTTATTATTTTTCATATCTCTAGGAAAAAAGTCCCAGCTAGTTATGTTAGGCTATATGAAGGTTCCCAAACTTTGCAGTGCCATGGCTGCTTAAAATGGTAATCTAATTCATGTGACATCCTTCCCCCACACTCATGAAATAAATGAATGATTTCATTCTGCTTAAGGTTGGACAGGAAATAAATATACCACTTTTAATAATTAAATTTTAATCTATATATCAAATAAGCCAATCATAGAACCTGGCAACTTTATAAAATAATACCTTTCACTGCTGTTATACAATAAAGCATTGAAGTGTTTAAAAATATTTTTAAATGGAAAGGATCAGCTTACTTAGATTTGCATAATTCCTGAAATCTGGGTTATATTTTTTGGACAGCCAGCCTCACTTCTTGTACTTTTATTTTTATAGTATTTTTTTTAATATTGACTGGATGTCTTTATAGCAATGGCCATAGAATAAATAACCCCTCCCTGTTGGCAACTTGTCCAGACAGTGGGAGCAAATTCTAACAGAGATCCAGTTTTGTGCATGTGCCGTGAAACATCTGCACCTAAAGCTGGAGCCATGTAAGACTATACTTTGGTCTTTCTTCTCCACATTGCTGTAACAAGCTGGCAGTCATCTCAGTTAGGCAGAGTGGGAGCAGGTTCTGAGAGTGATCCAGCTATGGACATGCAAGCCAAGTGGATTCTCCGTGCAATGCCAGACCCCTGGCTGAGCAGGAATGAGTTCTGACAGCAATCCATCTTTAGATGAGCAAACTCTGTGGGACTGGGTGTGCAAACTGTCATTGAAATCTCAACAGTGGCTTGCTTCAAGGGTGGCTTGCTCCATACCTTCAATGGAGGATATGAAGTACTCTGCGAAAGGTATAAAAGTATTACCCAACTATGGATTATTAATTTTACATTCCCTTGAACCAACATGGCTGTGATTCCTTTTATCATCCTTGAGTCAGCAACTCTTTTAAAACTGCTCCCTACCCTCATGTTATTTACACTTCTGATCTGATATTCATCAAGTTGCCATTCTAATGGTACAGCCAGGAAATGCTGAGGGATGCATATAAAGCACTCACTGTGGAGAAAATGGCCTTGAGCAAAGTCTCGTAGGGAGTCCTGTCTGCTAATAGTGAGCGGAAAATATGGCTCTGAAAATTCAACGCTATGTGTCCCTCTAACCCAGTGTTTCTCAACCTTGGCAACTTTAAGATGTATGGACTTCAACTCCACACATCTTAAAGTAGCCAAGGTTGAGAAACACTGCTCTAACCTTACATTTATCCTCAGTGAAAGGAAAGATTGTGAATAAGATGCTGAGGTGAGCAAACATTGGCTGTTAGAGGCAGGGTGGTACAAGTAAATTGGACCCCCATCAGATTGTGCTTGTATTCTGCTTGGATAAATGCGTGCCCAAACAAAGCAGGAGCAGGTTCTGGCAATGATCATGCTCTGCATGTGCAATCCACCCATTTGCAATCACTGTCAAATCTGCTTGTGACCCCAACCCACCTGGGTTATAATATTTTAAAAAATACCTGATTTTTAATAATTAGTTTTTAATATTAAGGTATATGAAGTGGTTTGAGCTTTTAGGAAATAGTTATAAAATATTAGCTATTATTGTTGGTTAACCTGAAGTCTCTAAAAGGCAGTTATTTAGATATTAACATAGGTACTACTAATAGCTGTGCTTTTATGACCTCTTATCTTTGAAATGGAACTTTGTCCTCACTAATACCTAATACTATAAATGAATGGAAATAGAAATTGCAAATTAATTCCATGGCTGCACATTATTGTTACTAAAACTCTGCCAAAGAGTACTCTTCCTTGTTTTTCCCATTTGTTTGTCCATTCTATAGAACTAAAAATGTAGCATAGACAAGTGAATCTTTCTACATTGTGCTCAGCAGTTAATTGTTATCTAGATATAGCATACTGTTGCAGAAATTTAAAGCGTACATTTTGCACAAACATGCAGTTTAATAGTTTAAAAATAAATAAAAGAGGACTGTAAGCTATAAAAACCTCATCCACCAGATCAAAGGTGGAATAAATGTTCTTTGTACTCAAATTATTGAAAATACAAGGAAAAATATTTGTTGAAAAAAATAAAACTTATGAAGACTTGTATATTGCTGTTGCAACTATGAGGCTTACTTTACTGATTTTTAGACTCATTAGCAACATGATAAATGGAAATATAGACAAACGTTTCTTCAATAGCCCATGGCCCAAAATGTAATAGTATTATCTCTTATTAATTATCTTGTTAAAGCTTAAATGTTAACAAGTTTGATAAAACATGCTTATTTTAGGAATGGAACACTACATCACATTTTTTGTGTTTTAGCTAGAAGAACAACCCCACTTTTGGAATATATTAAAAATAGAAAATTAGAAAAACAGGTATGTTAGTATTTTGGAGCTTAAATATTGACTTCAGTTTTTTTGTAATAGTAATAGAAATCAACACTAAACTTTTCCAATATTTCAGAGAATTCGAGAAGAGAAAAGGGAAGAACGAAGGAGAAGAGAATCAGAAAAAAAACGGCTAAGAGAAGATGAGAAACGGAAACGCAGGGAGGAAGAAAGACGCAAAAGAAAAGAAGCTGAGAAACAAAAGAAAATTGCTGAAAAAGAAATAAGGATCAAGGTACTGCTGAAAACTAAAACATACTTTTCAATATATTTTCAGTGCTTTGATGATACTAAGCTTGAAGTACATTAGATTAGTTCAGGTTTTCTTAAACATTTTCAAAAATGATAAATGACTGTGCACTATCTCCCCCATGAAGAAGAAAAATGATACAAATGTAAGTTTTGTCATGGAGAGCCAGAAATAACACTATTTATCTTTAAAATCTGGTTATTTGAAGTTATTTCCTCCATATGCAAGATAGTTGTGAAGGGCAAACCATTTGTTTCATTACACAGCCAGATGTGCAAATTACTCATGGGAAAATAGGCACATTTGATTCATTTGAAGGTCCTGTATAGCATATTTGATTTACCCTATTTTTCCGACTATAAGACTTTTATATTTTTAGAAAATACTTTTTTCTAAAATCCTTACGCTAAAAATTGAAGGACCTCTCCTATCTCTCCCCCTGTCCAGTCCTTCTGAATGCATAGGATGAGGCATTGGGGTTTTATAGGGGAAGAGTCCAAGCACTCAAAGGCAGAGCTGCATCCTAAGATAAGTTAATTTAAGAGAGCTCGTAGGAAAAGTTTCCAACTTTGCTTTCTCTTCATCTCAAATTATTCAGTAGGGCCCTTTTGCCTGGTAGGATTCAGGTAACAGTGGTGGAAAAGAGGCAACTAGAACATTTCATTGACTTTTAAAAGGTCCTTTATTCTAGCATTCAAGGTATTGTCAACAAATAGAAACACAAATAAAATGGGTACTAAAGAACAAACTGTAGAATATATATCAGATGAGCTTGGCAGTAAGAGACTACCTAAAAAAATCTAAAGGGTTTCACTCTTTTATTTCCTTTCTCCCTTAAAGAGAGCTTGGATAAAGCAATCTCTGGAGGCTGGTCCCACAGGAAGGTAGTAGGAAGCTTTAATTGTTCCTCTTTCCCAATCTGTTGGACCAGCCAATAGCTACCTTTGGCTGAGCGTAAGGCTCACCAGGCAGCAAGATGAATCTTAGTTATTGTCTTACCAGTTTAAACCCATAGTTGCCCAGAAAACCATGGAATTGGCTGAACCTGTCAGAGGGAATAATTAGGAACAATTGAATTGATAGTTGGTCACATCAGGTCCAGAACTGTATGCATTGGATCCAGAAGGTTATTTGGCAAAAAAACACTAAATACATGACAATGTAACAAAGAACTAATTTCATTGAAAGCAACTGGTAAAACTCAGTTTTATAAGTGTTTATAAGAAACACATATAAAAAAGATCCATAAAAACACTCAGATGGTATAAGGAAGTATCCTCAATCCTACCACTTCCAGCAAATTTTTTTCTTTTTCTTTTTTTTTTTTGGTGGGGAGAAGGATAGGAATGACTAAGTGCAATTCAAAACAAAGCACTGGGCTGCAATTCCCACCACCTTTGTATACAAAACCATAGTGAATCAAAGAATTTGACTGTTTTAATTGCATTTTTATGGGTCTAAGGATTTTTTTCAATTATTGTTCACTGCCTTGGTACCTACTTGATAAATATTATAATAAATACATGGATATTAAAATATTCCTTAGCTTCTTAAGAAGCCTGAAAAAGGAGATGAACAGACTACAGAAAAGCACAGAGAAAAAGAAAAAGTTGATATGGAAGACAGCAAATGGGAGAAGTCACCAGGACATGGGAGTTTAAAATCCAAGCCACTGGAAATTTCTCTAAAGGAACTTAAGGAAAAGTAAGTACTTCTTTATTCAGCAGATAAGGCACTTTTGATCAGTGCATTGAATCTTCTTAGTTTCTTTAATTCCTGTAGGAGTTAAATTCTTAGAACTGCATTGCAATAAATTAACTTCTACAGCAAATCATTTTGCTGGAGTTCTTGTGCAGTGAGTGGCAATGATGAAGCAGTCATATGTTGACTCTTATTTTGGTGGCCTAGATCATAAAAATGTATAGCTATAATTCTCATTCCTTGATTGTAGAGTACCTGATAACAGAAATGAAGAGTGCATATAAGACAGAAGAATAAGTATGTGTGTGACAATCAGTGGAGAATGCTCTGTGTGTTTGTGGGAAACCCAAGCCTTGCCCATTGTTGACTCTGGCTATGTCTTTTGTTAGACAGTGGCTCCAATATGCTACCCATAGGTGCATGCAGATCTTGGTAGCAAAAAGGTCACCTCCTTTTTTAAAGCATAGCTGTGTAAACTAATGTATACAGCTTGGGAGCTGCAAGCTCATTATTTCTTGTTCTCTCTTTCCGAACCAGTCCTTAGCTGATTCCTTTGAAGTACCTTCCTATCTTTTAGAGCCATCTGGTGCACCTGGGATGTACATTTTTTCCTATTTGTAATTAAACATGACATTGGGACAGGCTAACAGGAAGCACAGAGGAAATGACCAGCTGTATATATCTAAAAATGTCCTTTTCTGTACACATTTTTAATTAATTTTGAAAGAACTCATTTTTTCACTGATATAGAAGTATAGGTATTGAGGAAAAATCTAATGTGTAGTCATAAAAATGTTGTAATAAAAATGCCAAATCGTGACCTATTTCAAGCAAGAACACTCTTCATCAGAGAAGGAAATAAATTTATATTTATTTATATTTCAAATTTAGACACTACCCATCTCACGAGGAAGTGACCCTGGGTGGTTTACAATAAAAACAACAAATATTAGTTAAAATAGAATAAAAATAGTATAAAAATACAATAGCAATAAATGTAGCAATCTGTGGTATCTTTCATCTCTCTACCCCAAAACTGTTTTAAACCTACTCTAACTAGCTCCTGATGAAGCATCCTCTAGTTTAAAATATATTTGCACATTCTATTAGAAGAATATGATATCTATACATAGGTATATTTTATTTACTGATTTGCTTATTTTTTTAAATTTTTTATTGCCTTCTAGATTAAGTGGTTTACCTTTCAGATTATCTTTTATCTTTATATGCTGCTCCTGTCTGAGTCCCCTTATATATGATTCAACAAACTGTCCCTTCCTCTGAGAACCTACAGTGGGACATAATCTTAATTAGGAACAAATAAAGTTAGTGTGTAAGACTTCGGGTTCTCCAGAATCATTATGAGGCTTACTGATTCAAAAGGTTGCCCACTATTTAATGAAATGTTGGATGGCTCTAGCAAAAATATTGCCTGACCATGGGAATTTTGATATTTTACATATTAGAGTACCACTATTTCTGTTGCTTTTTCTCTGTCATTTCCATAGTTTCTAATTTCAGAGCGTTAGGAAGAAAAGCCAGAAAAGTATTTTTTTTTTAAATGATTTAACCAAGGGCTGAAATTCTGGGATGAGCATTTTACACTATAAACCTTTACTTTTTCTGATTCTCTTTTGCAACTGAATGCAAAATGCAGAATTAAATCCAGACAAGGCTCCTTTTGTGACATTACTAATAACAATATCATAATAAAACTTATATCCACTTGATTAATTGTTCAAGTTTACTCACCTTTAAAACACAGATCACAAAATGACAGCGATAAAGAACAAAGAGATTCAGAGAGAAGATTTCGTGAAAAAGAACCCGAGAGACAAAGGTACCGGTTGGAAGATGGCCGAAAGCACAGAACTCACTATGAATTTGACAAATATGTGAGACGGAATGAAGAGGAGGCGAAGTGGGAGAAAGGCTACAACCAAGACCGAGGAAAGAAAGTGAACTACAACTACAGCTTCACTGTGGACACAGTAGACAAACTGGGTAAAGAGGACAAGTGTGATGACATGGCATCCAAAAAGGAGCGCATAAGAAATAAGGTTCTTTTATTCATTTAGGATAATCTTTCATTACTAAAATTACATCAGGGGCACAGAGGATTTGCTTTTGACATCTCAGTATGAAATTTTTAACAATTATGTTGAAATAATATGAAAAAATCCATATTTTATAAGCCAAGGCAGTTAAGATACCTTTGCTGCTTATTTATGTGTCCCCATTTAAAATAAAATTATTGCAAAGCATTTTTCTTATAAATCTTTTTTTCTTCCTAAAAAAAAAAAACCTTAACTGCTTTACACAACAGAGTGCCTATTCTCTTAATGAGAACTTATCGGGACCTAATCCACTCTAAAAATCCTGACTTTACATTCTAGTACAATATTACTAAAGAGCCTATTAGCCACAGTAGTCTAAGTAATACTGGTGCTGATGAGTAACCACAGCACAAAAGCAACTTCATGCGAGTACCAGGGCAAGTTATCCCTTAAAAAAAAAAAAAAGGCAGGGATTTATTTTTCTGAAGAGTTTTAAAAGAACGCTTATTCTGTAAGGGTCTTACTGTTGATACTTCTGTTTTCAGAAGATCAGTATTCTCTGATATGGCACTTTATTCTTTGGCTGTATGCAGCTGCAGCAAAAAGAGTGCCTTACCCTGATGATGTAGCAGCAACAACAGTACTATCCATTGTGGATCACACAACCCTTGTCAGTTGCAACCTGATTATAATGAGTTTATTTATCAGGAATGTGAAGCTTTACTTTAAACATGCTTTTTGAGAAGCAAATCTGATTCCCAAGAAGTACATTCCCAACACAAGTAAGTGTGTTTTAAATTGTGGATTAATCTTATGCTATTGGTTATAGGATTACATGTGAGTTGTCATGTTTCTCTCCCATCCCATTATGAAGACTCTTCACTATTAAGCAAAAGGCTGCAAGATGATACATTTCTGTAGCAACTCTTGTACCTGGTTCTCCATGCTTATTAGCTAGACAGGACATTGTTAGGTCAGCTTGAAAGCTTTAATTTTGTATTGTAGAAAGTATGAAGTCTTTTTTTGTTTGGATATTATATTCATATTTGTCTGAATTCAGTTAGAGTTGCTCTATTCAGCTTGAGTAGGGGTTCTAAAATTTTCATGGGTTAGCTTGGTCCTGGGGTTTGTCCTATCACTTTCTTTCCAAGCCCTGTTTTCTCCAGAATCTTTTTAGTTTGCTTGAATACTTGCCTCTCAGGGGAGAGAGAAAGAGAGAGAGATTAGTTCTTATTAAATATGAAGCAGTAGCAGAAAGATCTGTTTTTACATCCATTCAGCTAGGATGCTTTGAGATCCCCAGTGCAAGTAAATGGGTTTCTCAGAGCATTTATATTCTTTCTTTGTTCTTTTTTCTGCCCAGGATCGCCCAGCCATGCAGCTGTACCAACCAGGAATTCGCATTCGAACACATATGGGACCTACAAGTAGATTCTATGACTGTGCTGAAAAATCTTCTCAAGAGATTTATGACAGAAGGTATGAGGCAGACAACTCAGCTGGAGGTGGTTCTGAGAAAAGTGAAGATGCAGAATAAAATGGACAGAACATTCAGCTTTAAGACTTAGTGCCCTATAGAGATCTGAATGTTCTCAGAACTTGGCCAGCATTTCCAGTAAGGCAACCTCATTCCTTTTTAAAGTTTTCTCTCCATAATCTAGACCACATGAGACATCACATACAGTAAATAAGAATGTAATTTTTTTTAAAAGGAAAGGACTTGTCAGCCTTGCAATCAGATTAAAGCTGACTCTAATTCTTTCCCTGTCTTTGATATTCTCTCAGCATATGAGGAAAAAAACCATTCTACCATGTCGATAGATGCATATTTGATTATGTGATCATTGTATGTATTTGTGTTAGGATTAATTGCATACACATCACTGACTTATTACATATTCAAATGTGCATCTCTTTACATAATGGGAGTTGTTTTCATATATAAAGGATATTTTGATCTGAGATATAGGGAAGTGATTTTGATGCAATATTGCTGAAAATTATGCTAGGTTTCAGAAGGCAGAGTTTGGATGTTCTAATAACTCCTAACATTTTAAATTGCTATGTTTTGTATAAAACATTTGAGAAAATACTACATCTGCTGAACAAAAGGAGTATTTAAGGTGTTTATTTCCAGACATTTTCACTAAAGCATATTTACTATGTTCTACAAATTACATTAACTGCACACTCCCAGTTCTGTAAGTACATACAAAGAAAGCATTGTGCAAAATTTAACTATATATATATCTTTGGGTGAGAAAAAGACAAGAGTAATAACCTTAGGTTTGGTCCTGTCAGTAGTTCTGTCCCGGTATAATAATTACAGCAACACCATCTTTTAATTAGAATCATCAATATGTTTGTAGTTAATGCAATATTTGCATTATTATTGTGGGACAGTGCTCAACCTGCTATAGGATCATGGTTAAAAGATACATTTACAGAAAGAGGTTAGTGAAGTTCTGTTGGTTTACGAGGACAGAGTGGGGCAGCAATCTCCATGTGTTATAATGGTGGTGATTAAAAGGGCTGTTCAAGGCTTACTTCTTGCAGCTCCTTTATCCCTGCTAGCAATACCTCCAGCCTCATACACCCGTCAAGAGAACAACAATAGCTGAAGGAAAATAGCTTTCAATGGGCAGCGTGTGGACCATGGAAGGGTCAGCACTAGCCTCTGCCCATTCGGTATAGGAACACAGAGAAAACTCAGTTCTGCTATATGGGCCTGCCCTGTCGTATTTAGCCTGCTCTTCAGCTTCGTAAAAAGTTGGGTAAGCGTCAATCTGTTTTTAACTTTTTGAACAGTATTTACCTTTTATTATATTACCTGAAAAAAGGCTGATCTGAGTTTAAATATGTAATGCAATCTTGGCCTTTCATGAGATGACATTTTAAAATCGTTTTGCCATTTTTCAATATGTGGGTTTATTAGCTGTTTTTTGTATGTAAATATTTCATGAAATATATTTTTACATGTCATTTACGGAACTATATTGGATTATAAATAGATTATAGAGCAGAATGTATTATTCCTGCCACATGGTTCCCTCTGTTCATTATGCTATTAGAATACATTGTGATGAGAGATACATTCTCATTTTTTGTGAGAAAAATTACACATGTCTTAAGGGCAAGGCATAAAACCAATAATGTTGATAGGCTTTCTGTTTGTAAGAAGTGCAGACCTTATGTTGACTACTTTTTAACTTTGTGTTTTGATTTTTTTTTTATTACTGTATTATCAGCATTTGCTTTTAATGTAAATAAAGGAAATCTGTTAATTTCAGTCACTGGAAGATTAAACTGAAATCTAGTCATCTGAGTATTGGCCTGTTTGTTTGCTTTTTTTTAACTTCTGGTGCAGAAATGCTTATGGAAAATAATTTATGAATCAATGTACATATCCATTGGCTGCTTATTTAATTTGTCATTTTCTAATTAGCTCTTTTATACAGTTGCTCTTTTCCCTGCAAACTGGGGGAGAAGATACAACAGTTGTATGTCGAGTTGCTCTGCTTAGTACACAATGTTTCTCTCTTTAAAGAATTGACCGTAATTTTTTAAAAATATTAATTATAAGCTTTTGAAGGGTCATCCGCATTTAACTGGGAACTGAACACGACAGGTTATCGTAATTTGGCACCCTTTAGATACAATGAAACTGCATCTCCCAGAATTCCAAGCCAGCACAGACAAAGGATGGGAATTCTAAATTTTAATACAGGCATCTGAAAGGAGGAATTGATGTATCTTCAGGAAGTATATACAGTAGAAGAGTGAAGAAAGAGGCAGAGGCCACAGATGCTATGAAGTATTTATAGTCCAGTAATGTTATGCATTCTGAATAGTACATTCTTCATTAAGAATAAGAATATATAATGTAAGCCCCAAGACTTTTTAGAAGAATGTGGTCTGCCTTCTCTGCATCTGTGTCAGAAAGCCTCGTCTTTGATGGAAATTCCTTTGCTTTTTGTAAGCTGGAAATTTGGCTGTCTGTACGTCAAGAGTGTATTTATCTTGCAGTCTTTTTATTCTTTCCCAAAATTCATCAGTCTTACACAGCTGAAAGATAAATATCTACAATGTTTATTATATTCTACATATGAGTAAACCAGAGTATCATCTTAATCAAAATAGATTTTAATCCCTCAAATCCATTGCATTAATTCTTAATTTTTTTATATACCTTAAAACTGTTTTCTCTTTCTACATCAGGGGTCCTCAAACTTTTTAAACATGGGGCCAGTTCACGGATGTTGGGGGGCGGACTATAGTTTGTAAAAAAACACGAACGAATTCCTATGCACACAGAGGATCCCTCCCGTGGAGTTTGAGGAGAGGA